ATCTCCGCCTCCTGAGTAGCTAGGAGTCACTGGCACCTGGCTAAAAAAATTTTTTAAATGTTTGTTCTGTCAAAGGGACAATCCATTCCATGACAATCTTTGGAGCATTATCTGCTCTAAGTTATAGACAATTTTGTCTATCATCTCCCAAGGGAGTGACTATGTTCTACATACCTGACTCATGTGAGAGCCAGAAATATCTGTTGAATGAATAACTGATTTTTCTGTTCTTTTTCAGGTAAGGTTTGCCTTGGTCAACCTGTGTGTGGTTGACAATGCCGCTGTTCATTGACATGTCCACTTTCTCTCTCTCTCTCTCTCTCTCTCTCTCTCTCTCTCTGAGACATATAGGCACATCCATCCTGACTTCTTGCTGGTTGCCTTGGTCATGTGACTCATTTTGGCCAATGGAATGTGAACAGTGTGATGTATCCCTTCCAGATGGAGATATTACAAGTCACATTTCCTGCATTCCTGTTTCCCTTACCACTGGGACAGGTGAAGCTCCAGCTAATGGCTTCTCTGTTACCCAGGGTCTGGGTGTAGCTGACCCCTAGCCAATTCACAATGGGCAACTGGCACAAAGAAGAAATAACCTACGTGACTGTGTGCCCTTGTAGGGTTGTCTGTAGGTGTAGCCTTGCCTATTCTGGCTCATTCAGATCAATACAGCATTGGAAAAGCTTCTCAAGATATTATGCATACTCAACTTCCAAAAAATTATGTGTTAACCAGCAGTAGAAGGAAGTTGCTCCTAGTTTACTCATTTTCTACCAACCTGGCTTTTTATTTGTTTTAATAGCGTGGCCAGTCTTTTAGGTGTAAGAAAATACCTGTGAAGTCAGGGGCTTTGATGATAATGGCCACGATTGAGATTAAGTAATAAAATTATTGTGTATTGCAGATATCTTTCTGCCTTGAACACTTATGAAGGGAAGTCAATTTTCATCAAGTGAGTTCCTTTTCATCTGGTTTTCTCTACCATGTTTATGCCTGAAGTTTATTGCTAGCAGTAAAGAGTGTCCAAGTGTGTTATGGGAAGAGCCAAATTCCCAATGCTTTAAAATGTATTCTATAGGCCCCAGAGTCAGTTAAAAGCTGATTGACTATACAGCACGTACATCAAAAATGATATTTATGAAATATTCCATTTCTTCACCTCTAGCTTCTCCTAAGCATGAACATCACATTTGGGAGTTGTGAGGCAAATATCTCATACAGCTAGGAAGAAAAAGTACTGCAGATTTGCCATGACAAAAAAATAGATTCCATAAGCTATTCAATAATTTAATAAAATATCTATGTCAACTGATGTATCAAATGAACAAATATTTTAAAAGCTATGATTCGGGCAGTCTAGAGAGGCTCGTTGGTTCAGATTTTCATAACCAATTCACCAAAATACCAGTCATACTGCTGAATAAAGGACAGACTCTGTGAATGAGGGTAGAGATGGACATTTTTATCGGATTAGTTTTTAACAAGAAAGTTTCTGTTTACTTTGCTCAAGACTCAGGTAGAAAGTTCTAACTTAAGAAGAGAAAATGAGCTATCAGACCTGGCCTATACTGAGGATGCTACAGATGTTTAATGTTTTTAATTTACATAGTTTGTCAATGATTATCATTCGTTAATATTCTTTCTACATCTTGTTTGGTGTAGTCTATCCTTGATTACAAAATCAAATTCCTATTTACTGTATGCTAATGGTTTATGAAACTCTATACTAGGTACTATTCCCGGGAGGAGACAGAGCGTATCTAACTGATTTGAAAAGCAATGTCTTTGCAAATAGTACCCTTGCCTTTTGATGACCCCAGCACTCACATGGCACTAAGATGAAGATTGCACGTGACAGTGAGTTTACTAAGTGCTATGCAACAGAGAAGAACTCAATAAATACATTTGTTGATTGACTGATAACCATAGAATGCATCAATTGGGTTTTAGCTGAAGACTAGGAATTCCGAAAGAAAATTTGAAGTCTGAAGGGGAAAATAAGCATATTGACATTCCATAAAATAGATATAAATCTGCAATAGTCCTATGTGGGGTCTGAAAGTGAAACATGTCATTTTTATGACATGGTGGTCACAAAAGCTTTTGTTTAAGTGTTTAGGAGGACAAAGGAAGGTTTAACCCAGAGTCGAACATGATTTTGTTAACAAATTACTCTCACTGAAATGATTTTAAATCATTTATACTGAGTGTAAGTTGTGTAATGGTTTCTCCCTTTAAAATATGTGGTTTCTCCCTTTAAAATATGTGACATGTTTTTATTTCATTGTTGGCCTCCACATGATTCTCTGGACAAGTCTTAAAGCAGTGATGGCAGTAGCATCTTCCAGCAAGTTATGTAGCCAGAGCTGCGATTTATCTTCTTTCTCCCTTTGGTATACAACCCCAGGCAATGAAACACAGCTCCTTCTATTTTCGCTATTCTTCCATATGCCTGAAAGAATAGCTTTCCAAGGAGGTAAAAATAGTCTGCTGTCCATTGGGTCAGCAACGGACATTCATTCAGTTGTCAAACAGTGTATACCTCTGAATTAAATTTGTGTATTCTTCAAGCCTGTGACATAAGCAGAAGATCCTGGAGATAAGTTATCACTTTATGTGTGTCTTAATGATAGTCCCCACCTGGGCCTCATCAACCACAAGCCTCCTGAAAGGAACGAAGCCAGTGACAGGCCACCTTCCCTGTCTGGAGAAGAACAGAACCTGAGACCGAGTAAGTTGGGTGGGTTGGTTTCAATGTTTTTTTTTATTTTCTCTTTGCTTTCAAAGATCATTGCATTTTGCTGTTATTACCAAGGGTTCATTGGAAATGAAACTGGGGTGTCTCAGTGGGGTTTTGCAGCAAATAGATAAAGCAGGTTCAGGCAATACTGGGCAGTTCAGTGTCTGAAGTGGATTGAGCAGTGGCCATTTGTTTGCTGGGGTGAATGGCGCATAATTTATTCAACTGCAGCAGAGGCTGAAAGCCAATCTGGCTTTGACCCATTTGTCTTTAGAAAACTAATTAAACTGGAGAGTCTGATTTAGTGTTGTTTTGGAAGTTCTACTTTTTCTTGTTCAAGACAAGCGAAGATGAAGGGTGTGTGTGCCTGTGTGTGTGTCTGTGTTGGGCTATAAGGTAGGAATTACCAGTTCCACCTAGACGGTGACTGAAACTGTAGAAAATAAAGACATTTCCTAAATACAAACTGACATTCCTTTGAAATGCAAAGTAGTGGAGCTAGCCACACACAGACTGCTTTGAGGTGACAATGAAATGCCATGCAATTTAAAACGAACAACAGACAGTTTCCCAATCCTTACAACCAAGACTTTCTAAATCTCACCAAAATGACCCCAGAGAAGCTTTGAAAACCATCTTTATGACTAGCATTTTACTTTGAAATTGGTATCAGCGGTCAGACAGGAGATGATATCAGAATGTCAGTTGCTTTGTGCACACGTGTGCGCGCGCACACACTTGCACACACATATTTGTTTCATAGTGCTAGGGATTGAACCCAGGGCCTTGTGCATGGTAGGCAAGTGCTCTATCAACAAGCCATATCCCAAACCCCAAAGAGCACATCTTGATGGTATTTTGCAGTTTCTTAACCTGTATGGAATAATACTAACAACATATTTGTTACCAATGACATACCAGTGAATTTCAGAAGTTACAGTTAGAATTTTTTTTTCTTTTGGCCTAGATAAAGACTATGGGTTGTAAGCAGAGAAGTCCAGCAGACATGGGGATGATAGTGTAACTGCATTCATTCTAGTACACTCAAGGAAGCCATCATTCTTGGAGGAAAGCTACCAGGGTCATGGTAACCATCCAATACAGTTTTATCTGCTAGAAATTATGGAGATCCTGAGAAGACCTGTTGAGAAGGGCAGGCACACACTGTCTGAACTAGAGCTTTTCTGGCTTCAATTGGGCCAAACTAATAGAACCCTAACTTGCCCAACCATGATTTCTCTTCCTGTTCCCCATTTAACATCAGGAGGCCTTGAGCCTGTTTCTTCCTCCAGGTCTTCCCTTTCAGAATGTTCCTGTTCTAGATTTACCCCCTAATTTTTTTTTTAAACCTCATCCAAATTGCCTTGGACTCAGAGAGTTGGAATGTTGAGTAGAGATACTACTCAGAGGACAGTTTCTTTTTTGAAACAATGAATTTTAAAAGGAGGAATTTTAGACACTGCCTGATTAAAGGCCAGGCAGGCATGGAGCACCATGATGTCATGGTTGTGCTGCTTGAATCAGTATGTGCTCTCTTGGGCCACAGTGCTGTGTAGGACACAGATCTCCACAAAGGAGCCTTAACATTCTGGAATGGCATTGAGAAAACCAGACTAGATAACGATCTGGTTTTTTCTGGTTAATTTAAAAGTAAAATAAGATAATCTTCTCCTCAGCCCAATAGAAAGCACTTTCAAGCAAAAAAAAAAAATCAAAACTCCCTCCTAGAATGTAATCAAAGAAATCAGTAAAGTCAAGGAGAGAGAGAGAGAGAGAGAGAGAAATGAATAGTGTATACCACAAACTATTTCTTAACTCCCTAAATTTCTATTTCCCAGCTAATGGAAAAATTAGCTTCTTATGCATGAGAGCCAGCGTTGGTTTGTTTTTATTATTAGCAAGGTAATTATTCACACAGCACAAGAAGAAAAGGCCAATATATTCTATCAGAGAAGAGCTAGTTTTTCAAGAAGGCAACAATGGTCTGAACATTGGGATAGAATTTAAATCAGTGACCAAATGAGCAGGTCTTGCACAAAGATTAGATTGAAAATGTTGCCATTGGGAAAGAATACCAAAATGAGTGTCAACCACAAATATCAAGCAGAGAGGAAACTACTAAATGAGTTGGCTTTGTGCATTGTTCAATTTACTCTGGAGAATGTGGGAAAGGAAAGCAGGGGTTGAGTTTCTTAGGAACGTTCCAGAATGACTATACAAAGACAAATGGGATGAGTGGAAGAATAAGACCAGTGCTTACACTATGCTGCATTGTCCTCCACACAGTCCTCTGGGAAGCAAGAGGAAAACAGATTTAAAGGAAAAAGAAAAAGAGATTATTCTATATATTATAGCACAGCACAGGTATAAAGGTTAGCTTCATAGGTTGCCATTCCATCTACCTCCACCCCACATTCCCTCATAGAATATTTGAGAAATCGTCACGCACAGGACAAGGTTGAATAATTACAGGAGGCTTAGTGGGCTAAATCATCACTGACTTGAGTTGACTTCCAAGTCTGGCTTTTTTAAAGGATTTACTTTTGTAAAGATATGTTCTGCTAAGGGACACAATTTAGAGTAAATTTTTGCTCTAATGAAAGAGCTGGAGTAAGTAACAGACAGTCCCTGTCCGAGTGTGTTCCAGAGCTATCTAGCACACTGAGCTCTAATTTTCTGAGCTGTACAACTAATTGCCTTTTAGAGAGGATAATTCGAAACACCTCTGTGTGCTCAGATCTTAAAACTCCAGCTACTTTGTGCTGAATTATTTTTGTAGTCGATACTTCCAGTGAATTGGAACTTTCTTTAAAAAAAAATCATAGCTTTCCATCAAATTTTTTAAGAGAATTCACAGAGGATAAATTTAAGAAAAGGGGAAGAGAACCAGTCCCTTTCTGAGTGCAAATCATCACCTCTGGCCTATTTAACTGGAAATCTTTAGCAGCCAGTGGGGACAGGAGGGTTACTAAGGTGAGCGTTGGCAACAGGAGAGAGATGCATGATTGGTAAGACCAGTGTGTTAGCAGAATTAGTGGAAGGCATTTTATCCTCAGTAAATCATGGCTGTTAGCAGTAGGACTGCAATATTTTTACATGAGCCATCTTTCCATCAGCAGCTGATTTTATACAGACATACTCATTCATTTTTGGATAACAAAAATCACTTTCTAGTAGTTTATTTGAAAGCTGCTGAATACCTCAACTGTGTTTTTAGCCTATATAACTTTCAAGAAACCAAGGGAAATGTTTCCTACTGATATAAAAGATTTTACAAGTTCCTTATAATAAAGAAGCTAAATGATGGAATTGGTGTGATTTTTAAGAGAGAGTTTTCTTTTTCATTCTTTTATGTAAGTTTTAGCAGCAACTTTGGGTTGGGAGTTTTATTTCTCAAACAAATCTCATAATTACCAGTTCACATTTAAAAAAAACCAAACAAACAGCTTTACAATAAATGACATAAGAACATATACAAATAGATTCCAAAGCTAACACCACAGGTACTAATCTAAGTGGTATTAAGAAGTCATACTCCAAGAACCTTATAGTTAAGTAATTTTCATTTTGGCTAAAGGGGTGGAGTGATTGGAGATTTCTTTTGATGGTGGCCTTTGAAGCATTTCTTCTGAAACAGAGAAATTAAGGGAAATCTTTTCCAATTATCCTCCTTTTTTCTGGGACACATGCTTCTTATAAATATTCAGGAAACATCTTTTTAGGGGAAAATTAAAATAGGAGTAGGTAACTCGAGCTTTACTTATAAACAAACAGTTGAAATGGGCTATAATGGAGAACAGACCCTTCTGGAGAGTTCTCCAGTCCTGTTCCTTGAAGGAGATCATGCCTGACTGTTGCACTGCTCCACCTTCCCTGTATATGTTCAGATCCATATACAGCCCTTAAAGGGAAAAGTCCTTGGGGGTGCCAATGGCCACAAGTGGAGATTCTGATAGCTCCTGTATCTTAAGCATAATCTTGGTATGGCTGCTTTTGATATGGAAATATCCTCTAGCTCTTAGGAGCTAAGGAAAAGTAACTCATGGTGGGCTTATGGCTGGCTGTGAATTACAAGTTGTTAATTCTAACAATTTGGGAAGGGATAAGAATTTAATTCAACCAAAAGTCAATTAAATTGCAATTCTCACTTCCACAGCCTGAAGTGGAATGAGGTAAATAAATGAGGAGGTAAATAACTTGTGCTGCAGAGAAAGTCTTGGGATATTGTTTGACTTACTGACTGAATGCCTATGCACTGAGTCTGGCCCTTGGTTTAGGTTATGATCAAATGATTAACCATTAACAATATTTTCAGAACAAATGATTAAAGTATTTTGGGGGTACTTAAGATAAAAGGTCTGCAGTCAGTTTGCTATCTGCCAATGCTCCCCCTTTTATTTGGGGGACATTTTGAAGGTTACCAATGAAGTTCTTCTCTAAAAGCTTCAAATTCCAATTTTCAGATCTTATCAGATTTTAAACATAGATGGAATTTTCAGTGTTGATGGTGTGTATAGGTGTGTTAACACCGCATAAATACTGTCACCATGAGAAGAATATTTTCCTTGTTCCACTCCCTTGTGTAAGGGTGGGTGTTTATTTCTCCTGGGGACAATAGATACTATATGCTTCTCTGTTTTGAAGAGAAAAAATTAATTAGTTGTCATAGATATCATTATATTGTTCAAATTTAATGCGATTTTATCTAAGTACACAATATACCCCAGTCCTTTCTACAATTTATTTTTATTTTATTGTGGTAAGGACAATTAGCATGAAATCTATCCTCTTAAGAGGTTTGTAAGTGCATAATGCAGTATTGTTAGCTGTAGACATGAAGTTATACAACTCATCTCTAAAATTTATTCATCTGACATTGTACTCCAGTTCTGAAATTAGATTTCGCAAAAGATCTTGAAAGACCTAATCTCCTTTAATGACTTAGAGCCAACTAACATGGTGGTGGTGGAGAAAGGATCAATTTATGTATCTAGACTCCCAATTTATGTATCTAGTTAGAAAGATATCCAAAGCAAATTTTAAATTAGGACCCAAACAATGGAATCTAAAGAAAACCATCATTCTTTGAAACAACTGGCTAGTTGTTTGGCAGGATCTAATTGCCTGTTGAAAAGAAAAATAGTGACTAATTTTAAACTTTTCCTGAAACCATGATACAGAATAGTAATAAGAAAGGGAAAGTAGGTTAAAACAATTACACATATGACACCTTTCCTAAAACCTGCACTGAAGAGGGAATTTTATTTGCTAATAAATGGTAATAAATTTATAACATAATTCAGCAATTAACAACTACAGTTACCCCTTCACTTTCACACTTAATAGACAGGCCTTTATGTTGTAAGTACATTTGTTGTTGTTTTTTTAGAGAGAAATGCTAAGATGTACTTAAATGGAGGCCAAGCACAACCAATTTAATCTTATGGGTTCTACACTGTTGAAGGATATTAACTAAAATCATAAAGTAATCTATAACAGTGACTAATAAAAGTATTTTCATAACCAGCAATTCTTGGAGATCTCGGTTTATATGACATAATCAGATGTGGTTCAAATGCTTTATGATCTCAAGGATTTTATCTGTTAATTTTATATCAAGATAATTGACAAAGCAATGTTAACAGCACTAACAATTACAGGTATATAAATTGTTTATAGTACTATAAACTTAAGAAATTGAATTGAAAATAATCAGGCAGTATTTCTTTGAAATGACAAGCTTTTAATTTTTTATGCCAAATTTGGCTTTTAAAACACATCCAAAAATTTGTGTTTACTATTTTTATGGTTGTAATCTCCAAGTAAATTACTGTGCTGATAGATAGCATTCAGTCCCTGAAACACATTTAAATGGCTCAAAAAGTGACTACTTCTAAGGATTACAACTTTAAAAATACATATAGAAAAGAAAAAACAACATTAATTTGAGGCTTCTTGGGAGAAACTTTCAATTAGAAAACTTTGCACATAAGAAGTCATAATAAAACATTATATCATAATTGAATAAATAACCATTTTAAGGAAAGAAATGAAGCAGACGAATGAGAAATATGCAGCTGTAATTACATCTCTGCAAGAACTGGTAACTCAGTTTTCAAATTAAAATTTCAGAAGAAATATGAAGTTGAAAATTTAGTCACTGCACCAGTGGATTGATAGTTATAAGATTTCTTAAAAATAATCTACTTCGCGGCTGAAAAAGAAAGATCCTATTACCTTTCACTATTCTAATTAAGAATGAGATGACTTTTACAACCCTCTGTGTTAGCGTCTCACAACTGCTGTGCAGCACGAGTGACACAGGCTGTGAGAGTGTCCTTGGCCATTCATCTGAGAGTACTCACCAGCCGGTCCAAACTCGTGCCTGCAGCAGTTGTGGGTCTTTCCTCGGGATTGTAGGGCCTAAACCGCGTGTTAAAGTTTTCAGGAGCTGATCGGGCAGATCTGAGAGCTGGGGCAGGTTTGGGCTGTCCACATCCCTGGAAGACCTGGAAGAACCATTGAGAGGGAAAGAAAGTTACTCATGAATTTCCTTTTAGAATCATGATGTAGAACCATGCGATATGATGATTTTTCATGGAATTCTCACCTCCGACAAACTCCAATTTTGAAATTTAAGCACATATATACAACCACAAATATAACAGAATTACGCACACAGATACGTAGTGACCAACCATGTGTCACTCAATGCTCCCAACTAATGGTGAGCAAAGTGATGTTCTGTTTTCTTGCTGCATCTGTCATACTGTAAGCATGTGTCCTTTTTGTGGTTTATTTAATACCATGTTTTTACATTTTTGAGCTTTTCCTGGTGACTTCACTGTTTAGATGGTTTCCCAGAGTAGAGCTCTTAAGTGCTCATGAGCACAAGAAGTAAGTGATGTGTCTCATGGAGAAAGTATGTGTTTAGCATAAACTTCATTCTAACCCAAGTTGAGTGTCCTGAGTTCAATGTTAATCAATTCTATCTATCTATCTATCTATCTATCTATCTATCTATCTAAAAAAAGGTGTCTTAAATCAAAACACACAGGGAACAAAGTTAATTATTGATTAGTTGATGATAATAGTGTAAACAGTGGCTCATAGGAGCCTAATCCAGTATTTCCTGTAGGAACAATAGTTCAGTATTTGCTAATTCATTGTTTGAGTTGACTTTACAGACCATAACTGGAGCAGGGGGAGGAGGACCAGAAGAAAACAAACTAGGCCTGAGTTCTGATAAAGTAGCAGGGAGGTAGGGATGGCATTGCAGAAAGATAAAACCTGAGGAATCTGAACATGAAGAAGATCATGTAGCACTGGGAGGGGAAAGTCATGTAACACTAGGGTAAAGTAGCCAATAAAATTGTATATAATGATACATGGATTAGACCTTGCTTTTTGCTCTGCAACCTGCTTGCAAGGTATATAAGGTGAGACCCCTTTGTTCTTGGGGCTCAGCCTTTGAACATGAGTCCGCTGGGTCTGTGTTGGCACAATAAAACGTTGCTTCCTGCTAAACTGCCTCAGTATCCCATAACTCAGCTTGAGATTCCACAACATAACTACAACGAGTAATGAAAAGCAATTATACTAAAAATGGAGCTTGTAATAGTTACTTCATAGGATGATTTGGGGATTAAATGAATTGTGTGCCAGACACCTTCACGTACTTGAATTTAGCATTCAATAAACAGCCATCTGAGATTCATGTTATCAAGACAAGAATATTTCACGGGTAGCATATCAGGCCAAATAACTTGAGGGACTCCCCTTTGATTAAGCAATACTTCTATTGGAAGAATTCATGAAAACACTCTCCTGAGCAACAATGTGGAAATAGGATAAGCAAACATGGATGAAATCCATATAATGACATTTCTTCTAATTTTGTTGTTAACAAAATTATTCATGTTACAATTAGGGTTGCTGTGGGAAATCAAACATTTTATTTTAATGGACTTAGGGACTGAGCTGCCAGTCCTTTTCCACAGTGATTGCACTCAGGGTGTTGTGGGAGCACTTCCTTACTATTTCTTAGCTTTCTACTAGATATCACCTTTCCTAGATTTACAGGAAGCATAGTTACATTTTCAGGACATATTGAAGTCTAACTTTATGTTCTTCCATTTATACATGGGTGATGATTTTTTTCCCTAGACTTATAAATAAACTTTACAGGACTATTTATGTGAGCTGATTCTTAACTTGCATATATGTATATTTACAATGCATTCATTCTGGTTTTGTTATTTGATTCCTTGTTGTTTAACTTTAAAATGAGCATTTTTCATCATGCCTATTACGTGATTCCACTGGAGTACGCAGAGAGCCCTTGAGTGCCTTTCACAATGACAAATTCCATCCTGAGACACAATTCATTTTGCTTTACCACTACAGCTAATTTCTCTTTTGTTGCATTCACAAGTTCTCCTTCAACTCAGCATTTTGCAGAGCAGGAATACTTTGTCTTGGCATTCCTCGAGATTGGTCTTAACACACTATTGATTATTCTTCTCTCGCAGTTTCTGAAGTTGATGGTGTAAACCATGTGATGAAGATAGTGGGTCCTTTTCTCCCCAGTGCCTAAATCACTTCCCTGTGGCAAGGTCATTGCTGATGGAGGGCATCAACATTTCCAAAGCTCCAGGGATCCCTTGAGTGTGCTATTTTGGACTGCTTTGAAAATGACAGCTGACTTTTAAAAAGTGTAAAGCCCAAGGCTAAACAATAGTAACGGCCTTGCTGAAATTTCATGAAGCCAGGCACTGGGAAACTGAAAGAGTTAACAGACCCTCTTAAATCCCTCTTTGGGAACAATGTGGTTCTGAGTAAAAGCTAAATCAAAGTTATATGGGATGCCTTGAAAGAATATTAGTATTCTGGAGAGACATTTCATCCAAACAGAAAAATTTACCACTTCATTTTTTGTCGTTTGTTTTAGAGGGTCTTAATTATAACAGCATGCAGGTTCGTTAATAGAGCAGAGCCTAATGGCTTTCCAATATGTATGTTGGGTTTGGAATTGGAAGACCACTTCAGAGCAGAGATTGCTGATCTAGGATCTAAACTAAGGAAAACTCTGATTTCTAATTATTTTGGAAACAACACGATTCCATAATCAGATGGAAACTTACATAAAAATCTGTCATGATAATCTCATATCTTAAAGATCTCTTAACAGAGATTCTATCATGCCCTTAGAAAAACAGAATTGTCACAAGAGAAACTTTTAGCATGGAAGTTATAAGTTTAGGGATGAAGAACTATTTTTCAGAATTCTACAAGTCTTCTTGAGAACTATTGCAAAGATGTACCGGAGTATCAACCTGCTCTGCTATTAGTTGGCAGTGATTATTTACTCCCCCCTGTACTAATCTCATACAAAGAATACAGTTTAAACAACACATATCTAGTCTATAACTTAGACAAGTTACAAAGTGAAAATTAACAGTTTCATGTTTAATGCAGTGCTGTGACCTGAATATGTGTCCTCCCCCAAATTCCTAAATTGAGACTTAATCTCTAATGTGATAGGAATCAGGAAGTGAGGCTTTTGCAAGGTGATTAGAATTTGTCCTGGTGAATAGGATTAGTGCCTTTATGAAAGAGGACAGACACTCTGTTGTTTATAAATCACCTTGTTTATGGTATTTGGTTCTATCAGCCTGAACAGACTACGATTACATGCAATCTGATAGCAAGAAAAAATATTTAAAAATATAGGGTTCATGGGTGGGTGTCGAAGGGAATTCTTGTGTAGGAAATTTGGATTATTTTAGTTTTCTGAGTTTGCTATCACAGCAGTATAGTTAGACAAAATTTTGTGGCTTATGAAGGCAGGGCTAGATTGATATAAAGGTCTAAGTGGTCATTGCCTTGGTGGTCCAAGTAACTCAGCATTCTATATTTTGCATAAAAGAAGAAATATATGAAAAAAGTAGATTAAGTGATCAGAAAGAGATGTAATGTTGAACTTTTAGACTAACTTTTAGACTTTTAAATCCTTGAAACTGGTTGTGTTTGTCAAGGAAAAGTATATAGACAGGTAGAGATGGATGGATGGATTGGCCATGCCAATATTTAGAGGTTTCTCTCTGAGCCTCAGTTCCCTCTGTCCAACGGAACAATAATATTACTTACAATGCAGATATGCTGTGATGATCCAATGCAAATAAGGCAGGAAAAGGGAGCCCAGTGTTAGAAAAGGAGGTGCTTAATACTGATTATTTAGTTTTACCATTCTATAACTCTGTACTACCTAGAAGTTTTGCTTTCTGAATAGAGAAATATGAAGTGAAAAATGCCCGAACTGGTGTTTTTAAAAAATGTTTTCCACAAAATATTATTTACAGGAGCTCCAAGCTGTTACATAAGCAACAGATTCCACTTGTCAAACTTAAATTAGGTACATCCGTAAGGGCTTCATCACGCTACCATGTGTTCTGACTCTTCGAAAGGAAGAATGTTATTTGTAATGTTTCCCAAAATTATTTGGCTACAGTTTCTCCCATGAGAGAGAGGGGAGAAGTGGTTCAAACAGAATTGCCTTTATTTAGAGGTCATTGTGATGCTGCTGTACCCTCTGCCACGTTTAATTGGAGAGAAGGATACCATTTCAAGACACTAAAGGTCTTCTTTTCACAACAGAATACAAGTTTCTAGAAGATGTAGCTGCAGGCTTAGACACCTTATTGTGGAAAAAATCATTAGCTCTACCCCTTTAAAAAATAGAGTCAGCATTACCCCTGCCTGCTTCCCTCCAAGGGATTTTGTAAAGGATAATTAGATGATTCCAGAAAGTATTTGGAAGCTCCAGTGTAGACAAATGCTGCAGATGTACAAAGGAATTATCTTTCTTACCTAGCTGACTCAAAAGACCTGTGAATTTCAGGAGGATATCTAGCTCATGAATTCTCTCTCTTAAGAGGATTACTAAGATAATGTCTCAGAAGTATATTGGCATTCTGAGATTAAAGAAGCTGACATTGAGATAGAAAGTGCTGAATGAAGTTCGGGAGGCATGAGGAGGAGGGGGGTATGGTAATAACAAGTTTAAGAGTTGTGTCTTAGATTTCTAAATATAAATATTTAGAACCTAAACATTACAGCATGAACATATTTTTCCTAATCTAACACGATGTGTACTTTTTCCAGAGACACATACAACTGTATCTCTTGTCTTTGGTGGCTTGATTATACATTCACAAAAGTCATTCCCGGCAACCTGAGAAGTAACACATTTGCAGATCGACCCTGTCTTAGGGTCACAGGATCTACCCTGTGTGTTTAAAGAAAATTCCATCCTCCTACTTTCTTCTCAATGGGTTCTTATTATGGTGGGAATGATGGTGCTAGTCTTCCGTGTACCACTTTGAAATTTGCAAATGGAGCTCTTGTCTTTTATATTAAATATTGATAAGGGTTAATACTGCCTAGATTTAATCAGACTTGATGTTTTGAGAGTAAGTAAAGTTTTCTTTACTTATTAGGTTCTGATTTA